GTGTATGTACTGTACGTACCATCTCAAAAAAAAAATGCTATCTTTTCGAGGCTAATTTAGCAAACTAAAGAGGGGGCTTCAATTAGAGATGGGTTCATCCCGAGATTAAGCCTCCTTGGCTTCAATTCGAGGTTTTACGGTATGCCATCATTTATTGAGATGCATGCTTTCATGCAGGCAAGTTCTCTAAACTTATGAGGTTGATTCAATATAGAAATACATATTTTATTTAACCTAACATAACAATCACCCTCTAAATTCTCCACCACATCTCTCGTTATAGCCTATAGTAGGCCTATTTCAAGATAATTGTATAGTTGTTTGATGTCATAACAGGGCCTATTGTTATTGCTTTACCATCATCACTGTTGCATTATTTTTCTTCTTTTTGTTGCATTGAGTAAGCTTTATTTTCTACTTTCTAAAATAATACGTATGGGATTTGCCGATTCTACCTAAGTGATCAGTTTCGGTGACAAATAAAATGCTGATACACGTCTATACTAACTGCACCAGTCATCAATCATCTGATCAGAATCCCCTAATCAGGTTTGGTGACGGCATCATGAATGGTGATGTCACCGAAACTGATACTTATCAGATTTATTAGGTAGAATCATGATTTTTCTCCAATATCCTTCTCTCCGGCCTTTGAAATCAACAAACAATTTTTCTTATAACCGCCTACAATTATCCAAGCACTTGTTCCCTCTCTAAAGAGTCTCTTCGTTGCTATTCCTGTTATTTTATTCTCAACACACGGACCTTCTTAATTCTTTGTATAATGGTTTTTAAACAGTAACAGTGTCTAATTAGTCCCTATTCCTAAAAAAGGATTTAATTTAAATGATAACTACATATACCCCAATATTAAATGATTAGGCCAATTATCACAATCATCCTCATTAGGCCTAGGCCTATTAAGCGTAATAAATATTATTTATTTTTAGCATGTGGCAAACAAGCTATTCCACCAACAAACCTGAAGATTGTAGGTGGAGTGGAGGCAAGACCTGGAAGCTGGCCTTGGCAGGTTAATCTCAGGCAGAAGTATACATTTGGAGGTGGTGACTATCAATTTTGTGGTGGCTCACTCATTAACCATCAATGGGTTGTAACTGCCGCTCATTGTATTGGGTGTGTATAAAGCGCCAAAGCTCATTTCACTTTCTTAATTTTTCTTAACGTTCTATAACTTAGACCTATTTGTTAATTTTCAGTACTTGATGTAATAATGCGTTTCTAAATGTTCAGTTTTAGTAATATTTAACTCTTATACTATCAATCATTAGATTTACATTTACCTTATTTGTATTTATTGTAAATAAAATATTTAAAAAAAACTCCGCTACAATGCAAGATAATAATTAAGTATGATTCTTATTTTAACACTTAATTTTTTAACGTATTATATATATATTTCCGGGGCAGATCTAGGAATTGTCTTGGGGTGGAGGCAATAGTAGTCCACACCCACAACAGCTCCACACCATGTGGTGATATAAAGCGAGGACCCTATGGGAGGGGAACCGAAGGGGCCCTAAGTTCGGTGGCTCTGTGGACCTCCGCACGAGGGCGCATTGGCATTACGCCACTGCGAGCATGGACAGCTGTTCAAGTTGGGTACTAAATTCCGTAATAATGGCTAAAACAACCCACTTTTAGCTCTCTGTCTTACATCCAGTGATTTATGAAATCGTTTGAAAAACGTCGGGAAATAGAGCGTTGTGTTCGTCGTAATCAATCTAAATTTCAAAATTAGTGAGTGGTAAAATAATCGAGATCACCTTTCGCCCACTGCTGGGTTCGCCACTGAACTCACTGAACACTTCCTTTTTCCCTCAATCCTCCCCTTAACTCTTTTCATTTTCTTTCTCCATCTTTTTTTTAATTTTTCGGTGACATTGATCCCGCTGGATCCGCCCTGGATTTCGTGTTTTACTTATTTTAATTCCTTGTACTTGACAATGTATTTATTCAAACAAAAAAATGTCCATTTTGTATCTTATGAATTTTATTCATAATTTAATGAAATAAAAGTTTAAAAAGTAAACAATTTCTCAAGGTAATTACACAGTTAGACCTAGATATATTTTATGAATTAACGGGACACTATCACATTATAATTAGGCCCTATATTAGGCATAATACACAGATTCAATAGACTTCAGATGTCCTAAAATCGAAGAAATCCCTTCCGTGAAATCTTAAATGAGCTTCAACATATTTATCTTTATTTTGTTCCGCATGGTGATATTATATAGTCAACGGCCAGCGGCGTATGGATATGAGCTCTTACCCCAACAAATTCAGATATATTTTACAACCAAGGCCCATTTTAAATCCAAAGTCTGCCGATTGACACATAATTATGATAACAGACGTTTTTGTCCATAAATATTTATTGATTTTAATTGGCTTATTTTAGTTATTGTAATAGGCCTATGTTTATTGATCTTAGTGATCTTAATTAAAATTGAGTATGCTTTTTTTTTAGGTCAAATCACGATACATAAACGTAGACAACCCAAAGACCCGATGAATAGATAAGAACCTCCCGACGTCTCGAACAGCACACCTTAACCACATGAGAAGTAATTCTTCTTCTTCTTTTAATTCTTCCTCCGAGAATCATCCACACAATGCATCGCAAAAACTCAGCCAGCCAAAAAAAAAATCAAAGAGGCTTTGCATATACAATGGGACACGCCCTCTCTCAAGCAACTTTTACATGTTAATTAACTTTGTCATTCTGATGTTCATAATTAGGCCTACGTTATTCATCTTTATTCATGCCCTTCCTCCATCTTTACAGTTAAGGTTCAATCGATTCTTTAAAATGCAATGTTGTTTCTTTCAAATAGCTATGGCTCAATTTCCATTTATTTAAAATACAACAGGGCCGGCGGAACGTTTTATGTGTATAAGAGACAGCTTATAGATGAATGGAAATATGAATCATGCAGATCAGGAATCAAATCTAGGGGGTGGGGGGGTCAACATTTTTCCCCAAAAACGAAAGGGATCCGGGGGTCCTCCCCCGGGAAAATTTTGATTTCTCGATGGCAGGAAATTACCTTTCTCGACTTTTGAGCTAGGTGTCTAATGACTTTGTTCTTCAAAATTCAAGGTTTTCCCCCTCTTGAAAACTGTCAGGTAAATTTTCTCATTCTTATTACAGTAAATAGGCCTGTTATGTGTGTATACATACATAAAAAAAATTTAGTAGTTGCATACGTATTCTTTTTCAATGAATCGATAAGCCCAAAAAAGGTGGGGTGGTGGGGTTCTCCCCCGGGAAAATTTTGATTCCTAGATGGCAGGAAATGAGCTTTTCCGACTTCTGAGGTGTCTTAATTACTTTTAAGTTCTTCAAAATTCAATGTTTTCCCCTCTTGAAAACGGTCAGGAACTCGCCCATGAATGTACAAAATCTCCCCCTCAAAAGTCGCTTCTATAAAGTCACCCCATCGACGAACTCACCCTTGACGAAACTAAGATGCCGCTAACAAAACTAACACTATACGACTTTAGTATAAACTACGGTATATCTCGTATGATTCTACTGATTTTCCCTGTATCTTTAACACTGAGACTATTTACCAAGACAGTACAACAGAATGATCCGCCAAAAACCATTGGTTTTTAATTCATTATTAGATTTTTCTGTCACCGTAAAATGTTTACAGTATAGGTATATAACCTGTCTCTTATACACATCTAGATGTGTATAAGAGACAGTTGCATATGTGGTCGGGTAAGGATGCCTAGTGAAGACAACTCTTTCCACTCTTGTGAATATTTGTTTTCTCAATTTTAGCAAGAATTCAAAACCTAGCAGCTATATTGTCGTCCTTGGTGCACACCAGAGAGATTCTGCCGATAGTTCACAACAACAATTCGGTGTAACTCAGGTCATCACACATCGAGATTTTTCAAGCAGAACATTGGACAATGATATTGCCCTAATGCAGCTTGACAAACAAGTTACAGTCAACGAATACATCAGCCCTGTATGTCTTTCTGGGGAAAATTTCCCCGCAGGCACCAACTGTGTTGTTACTGGCTGGGGTGACACCGAAAGTATGTTTAATTATAATATTTGTTTATAAATCTAATGTTCATTGTTGTATTATCGCAAGCGTACTAACTTTAATCCAGGCTTCTTAAATGAAACCAGATTATCTAGAACGGTATTTCGGAAGTGTAGAAAATGAAGACTGTAAACCGGATTGTCAATATTGTAAACAAAATGATTAATATTATCAGGATGTTTGAATATTTTTCTGCATTGTTACTATCGATTATTATTTTAAACAACATGATTACCACGTATCCCTCTGCCTAGAATTGTTTTCAATAAATGGAACGTGGAGAAACCTCAGCAAAATTAATTAATTTAGGAAAGCCTTTTTAGTGATGTAGTGATGTAATGACGTTGTTATGCTTTTTACAGGTACAATTGAACCATCCACATTGCAGCAAGTTGTTGTGCCAATCATTGATACTACCACCTGCAATCAACCACTGTGGTATGGTGGCGAAATCACTGACAACATGTTTTGTGCTGGGTTCGCAGAAGGTGGTAAGGATTCATGCCAGGTGAGTATCAACATTATTATGACTTTATTAAACAATATTAAAATTATTAGAATATTAGACATTATTATAATTGTTATGCTCATGACATTATTAGAACATAATTATGAATATATTGTTATTATTATGATTGGATTATTATTATTGTTATTATTATTATTGTTATTATTATTATACATAATAATATTATTAAATATTAATAATTATATTGATGTCTATAGATAACCTTACAACATGCTTCGCATGCAATGAAGATGAGCGTAACTAAACAAAACACAGTATTAATAAAGTATTGTGATAGATTACTTCCTTCGTGCAATTTGTCATCCGCAAGGTTTTACAGTAATTGTTGTTTCAGTTCATTTTGTAACTAGCAGACAAACCACTGTTGCATTTAAATTGAATAATATTTAATCAAATTACATCATTTATTATTATTAAGCACTATGGCACCGGCTGACCATTTAGGACATTATTATGATATAATGATTATAATATTGATAATTAAGATGATAATAATGAGGCCAACAAAAAGAAAATTCTTGTGTTGGCCACGTTTTGGGAAAATCCAAAACATCGGAGTCGGTAGGAACTACTTTTTTTTTTACCAGTAAAGTTCTAATGTAGAAAATACACAAAAATACAACAAAGACCATTTAAAAATCTATATTGAAAAGCAAAACAATCACATAACACTGTCGCATCGCCTACTGTCCAGCAAGATACAGTAGGTCTATTCCAGCCAAGCCCATCAACAAAATATTTTTCGTTGTAGTCAATAAAAATAAATAATAAAAAGCGGAACCTCAATTTCGTAGATTTTGGGTCGGTCGGGCGTGGCTAAAACAATATTTTTTTTTTTGGCCTGATGACAAACCTGCAATACCTTTAGAAATGATTCTTGCATTTTCTTCACTAGGGTGACAGTGGTGGACCTTTTGTGTGCAAAAATAGTAGCGGTGAATATGAGCTTACTGGCGTGGTAAGCTGGGGTTATGGTTGCGCTGATAGTCGCAAGCCAGGTGTCTACACCAGAGTCAGCAACTACATCGATTGGATCAATGAACAGATATCAACAGGCCTATAATAGTTAGTACAAAATCATAGGGAAAATAAAAAGTTGAAATATTATGGGAATACATTGTTTTGCGATATTGAGTTAATACCATGTGAAATATAATTGGTTCAAACGGATTTTGACGTGCAAATGTTATTTATTATTTTGTATTTTAACTTTTTAAGCTTTAAATGATTGATACTTAACTTCCAAGCCATGAAATATCGAATTTAAGAAAGTAGCATTTAAACTATTTTTCGGAAGTTTCATAATCATCGAACTTCCTGAACAATGTTGTCGATGGGGATGGGATTGAGTTGGGCTTGCATTTATGTTTTAAGTGCACTTTTCTTCGGATGTGCGAAGTTTTAGTTTCAGTTTATTTATTTTACCAAAAGATGGTCGGGGCAGCTTAAGCAAACAAATCACTATAACTTTTTCAAGCCAGCTACCCCCTCGTTTATATTCAATAATACATGTTCTACCAACCGAAAAATGGACCCCTCTTTTACACAATTTCTTACAATTCTCAAACCTCTGGTTTAGACTAAAAATGAGGTATTCTTCCTTGTTTTGATTGGGAACCAGTCAAGCGAGTCGGCCTTACAACTGTTATGAAGTCTTCCCCTCAACTCTGAACTCGCCCATGAATGTACAAAATCTCCCCCTCAAAAGTCGCTTCTATAAAGTCACCCCATCGACGAACTCACCCTTGACGAAACTAAGATGCCGCTAACAAAACTAACACTATCCGACTTTAGTATAAACTACGGTATATCTCGTATGATTTTACTGATTTTCCCTGTATCTTTAACACTGAGATTATTTACCAAGACAGTACAACAGAATGATCCGCCAAAAACCATTGGTTTTTAATTCATTATTAGATTTTTCTGTCACCGTAAAATGTTTACAGTATAGGTATATAACTTAGGCATACTAAAATGTAAACAAAAATTAAAATAATATTATTAATGTGTTTGGAATGGATAATATGAGTCTGTACTGTGTTACGTGCCCGCCTAAAGAGGAAAGAAAGAGGGAAGAAGGAGGGGAGGGAGCGGAAAGAGAGCGTTTATCCCGTTCCCGACCGAGTTACATTTTCTCGCAATTCACATTGGCGGATCTGGGGGTGGGGTCAGGGGTCCTGACCCGCCTCCCTTGGGCAAAATAAAAAGAATTCTAGACCTACCTATTCAGGACCCGTGAGCTGATTTTTTTGAAGAACATAAAATTAAAGTAATTAAAAGACACTTCAGAGTTCGGGAAAGCTCACTGCCATCTAGGAATCAAAATTTTCTTGTGGGAGAACCCATGGACCCCCCTTTCTCTTTGGGGTTTATCAATTCATGGAAAAAAGCATACGTATGCAACCACTCAAGCTGTTTATGTATGTAGGCCTATACACACATAACAGGCCTATTTATTGTAATAAGAATGAGAAAGTTTACCTGACCGTTTTCAGGAGGGGGAAAACCTTGAATTTTGAAGAACTTAAAAGTAATTTAAAAGACACCTAGCTCAAAAGTCGGGAAAGCTCATTTCCGGTCATCTAGGAATTAAAATTTTCCCGGGGTCGGACAAAGGTTCAGAGTCTTAGATGGTTCTGAGTATGGTACGTTGGAAATTCAAACGAAACCACAATGCTAGACAGTAATGCAAAGATACTATAGATGAAAATCCACAAAAGCTATAGTTAGCCTAAAATACAGCACAGTACGTAACAACATTATGCATA